AAACTCATCTGAACTGATAAGATATTAATACAATGATCCTATATGTTATACATTGATATCGTTTCATCTGATGCTTATTCTGACGATTAAAACGACAAATCTATTGCGGTGAATTCATATATACACTGAGAACCCTTGGATCAGGAGGTATATGCTTCCGATACTTTTAATCTTAACCCCACAAAGAAGCCAAGTGTCACTGGAAATATTGAAGCACGTTAAGACCATATTTAGAATACTACATAAATACAATATTTTTTTTCTAACTTTTGCAGTTTAAGGGATATTCCGTTCAGGGTGCAAAATTTCTGACTGGTCTTTACCGTTTCAGAACTCATAATAATGATCATTAGAACTATTGTTAACATAGAATTATCTTTCCTCTGGTCAATTTGTACAGGCGAGAATGGGGGAATACTACCAACCAAACCGTCTAAAATAGCGCATCGAGAAATCCGGAACTAAAAGGCTACTGGATCATAAATTAGAGTATTGGGTAAATACTAAAGTGTATAATCTGTTCTCTAAGTTTCTGCTGGGGATGCTATTTTATTATTTCATTGGGTTTATTTTCTGTTGGTTTAATAATTTACACAAATATTTCATTCTGATCGACTTAGAACAACACAAACATGTTGTGACTAATCAGGGCCGCGCGAGCGTTTGTAAATCGATCTAGCTAGGTCCGTATTAAAAATTTACACAAACTGAATACCCTACGCTTGTTTAAATGGAAAATTGAGGTTTCCATAAGAACACCAGCAGATGAAATACCAACTTGAACGGAATATTCCCTTAGTTGTTATCAATGTAGGACTTGTGGACTGAATGTATTTTATACGATTCGGGTAAAAATTTATGACTTGATACGAAATTATTTGCTTTTAAAATAGATCATTTTAGATGTGTAATAATTCACGATGATTTTAAGTTAAAAAAATGATAAAAATCAAACGTACGAATTAAGATAACATGACAGGGCCACCAGATGAAGACAAATACACCAGCAACAGTGCACAAGGAAATGTTATATTAATTCCACAATATGCATTTCATAAATAAGGACGAAATAAAAATAGCACCTCCAAACCATTCCAGATCAAAATAGTACACAAAGTCATCAAACACTAGCCATTTAACCTCCCCCATTTCCGGTTTCAAAAACGGACGAATTAAAAATGTACCACCTCGAAAATATTCATAGCAAAACACTGAGCTCAAAATGTGTGTTGATCTCTAGAATCCAAGCAGTTAATGAACTGCTGCGCTCTGAAGCGATTTCGTCAAATTAGGCTTATCGTTGGTTCTAAAACTAAAACATGGCGAATATATATACATATATACATAAACACGCTCTTCTGAAATTGTCAATATATGAAAATTATAAATTTCATAGAATTATTGGCTTAATACACCTCCCCAATCTATATTTTAAAATTTCTTCTGATCACTTTGGATTTTCCTGAGTCGAATCCATGGTTTAAAAAAAATACCTTTCGCATCACTGACGAGTCTTAGTAAAACGAATTAACTGCACAATATTATGCGGTTTTATTCATTATCTGCTTCTGTTGTATCTAATTCCTAATTTGTATTAGACGATGTTATTCGCTTGTGTGTCTTTAATGCAATCTTTTTGTGTTTCCACAGGCATAACCCGACACTGTTTTTTTTTTTTTTTTTTTTATTTTTTTTTTTTTTTTTTTTTTTTTTTTTTTTTTTTTTTTTTTTTTTTTTTTTTTTTTTTTTTTTTTTTTTTTTTTTTGGGGGGGGGGGGGGGGTTGGGTTCTGGAAATTCTGCAATGCTTTTTCTAACGATTTAAGGTCTACACATAACTAGCTAAGGCTTTTTGTCCATCTCTTGAATTCTCAACGTTCAAAGTTAACACATGCTAAACTGCTCATCACGTGCCATAATTGGTTTACTTCCTTGGCTATAAATAAGGGCCATGTGCGTGTAAGGAAACCGTTAAGCTTTAGGACTATAAACAATTCTGAACAAGAAATTACAACTGCAAATTGTATTTGCGGAAAGAAGCGACGAGAAACTTTGAGAAACATAAAATGTCCAAATATTATTCCTTGTGTTAGTTTGATTTTAAAATAATCTAGGAGAATTGCAGAGAAAACTGTTCAAAATTTTCCAGCAATTTTCTTTAAATATTGTCTCTATTTTTTATGGAAAGTAATTTACGACAATAACTTAATAGGATTGCAGAATATGAAAACCTTTTCTTTTTGAGAGTATTCCGTTTTTAAGTAAACAATGACTAGGTTTAGATTTGACATGACATCATCCTCTGATATCTAATCCTGTGCTAACAGACTTACACAAGAGAGAGAAATTCGCTGCGTAGGATTACATGAACAGAAATGTTTCATATTTTTTTCAATCCTGATCCATGTAGACTTCCGAAAAAATGCAGATTTGACAAAGTAAAGTTTTTAACATAACGTAGGTTACATAAGCTTCGTTTTATTAGATTTTGTGCGATTAAAAAGACTTATCCTTCATGTTGAATTAAACCTTCAATTTGTAAGATATAACACCTGTTTGTCTCAACGCTGACATTTTGAAGACGACAACAATTTTGTTTTATTTGAAGTTTTATCATTTTCTATATCCCCTGTTGCATATTTCCTTTTTTTTACACTAGCCAAAAAAAAAACGCTTAGTAGAAAATTTTTAATTTCTTGCTGTTCTGGAGAAAACATTTAGATTATTTTTAATATCTATCCACAGTCCTGTCAATCATTCATGGAAACATGCAGAAATAGAATTGATTTTAACGCTTATCGTCTGTAACTCAAACAATTAAGAATATAACATCGGTGGGGTATGCGTAGTATCATCTACACTGTAGATGCTTATCTACAACTGTAGAATCTAATTTGATAAAGGTCTCCACGTATATATGTTCTGTTGAAGTTCAGTTATAGTACAGTAACTTTCCAATCGAGTCAAGATTGTCAATGGCTTCATTTGTCCACGAATAATTTGAATTAAACAAACAATACGTAGTTTTGTTTAAATGTTGAAAAAAAAGGTGTTGTTTCAAATCGCATAGATGAATGTACAAATGACACACAGATTGATAACAACACACACTAAAGCTAAATATTGAATTAATCTTTATCGTGCTGGACTAAATCTTTGTGTTTGTGCCATGTTTGGATGGTCGAGGAAAGACAGAGTTCCCGGAGAAAAATACACCGATCTGTGGACAGTGCTTGGCGTCTGCCCCACGTGGGTCTTGAACCCGCAATCACAACAAACATGGTGATTCACGTTCTATTTCTCCTTGTCTAAAACAATCAGATCACATGTGTACGTGTATACAAGACAAAAAAAATCGTGAATCTTATTTATCACTGCTCTCTCAGATAAAATGAAACCTTTTATAACCCTGGAAGTGAAACATAGCGTGTAAGCCCATTTGTACATCTTCATTGTTCATTTCAATGATTACTAAAATACAGTGAAGTCTTTGTAAACTAGAACGCTGGTCGCAGACAACATTATGACAACTAAAGTCAGTCCGGACAAATATGTTATTAAATGAAGTAATTTATAAAAAAAAATATGTCAGAAAAATTCCTTGTAGGGATTTTAAAAAAAATAATTGATAATTAGTTTTAAAAGAAAACCTCACACTATATAGATTTAGATTGAGGAAATGGTATAGGGTCTGTTATCAGAGTAGTAAGGACTTGTGTACATTGCGTGGAGCTTGTACTACTACCTCGTACGATATAGACCATTATCCCGCTGTGTGGTAATGCCTATTCAAACTGTTATATATCGATAACGGCTTACACTTGATAGAACGGCTATGCCAATCCGAAGGGACGACATTTGTATGTCATTGATACTTTAGTCCTTATCATAACCTAATAGGAATGATTGTCACAAAATATCAACGCCTCTCTTGCTATTCCAGAAATGTCTTAATGTATTCCTGACAGACCTTGGGGAGGGGAAATCCTTTCCCTCTGGAACGGCCTCTCAGAATATAGAAAAAAATACCTTAGTATCTCCTCGCTTAAGGGCTTACTATAGGAGTTATTTAGTAGCTTACTAAAGCTCCCTTGGGTATCACTATCAGACCCCTTGTGATTTTTCTGTCATCTCATATTCTGATGTCTCTACAATGTCCATTTGAAGACAATAAAATTGACACTTCACTAGGAATATATATACCATTAAGACTATAAGTTTAAGCTAAAAGATTGGACTGTATAGAAACCATTTCGAGTAGACATAAATGTTCCGGACTTCTATGTACCTTTACAGTAATCCATGAAAACGTTATATGAAGTCGATATATTTTGTTTACAAAACAGCCTAGTGTAATCTATTGGTAAACAAATGTCGATAGGAGGTCAACATCCATTACTACAATGGAACTTGACCTATTTTGGATTCCTAGTTAATTGGTGTAGTGTTTATTTTACAAGATTTGATACTTTATGGATTATAAATAATCAAATTGGTTATTTACATAGAAGATATGTGTACTTGCAAAGATATCGTAACTTAATAAAAGTTTACAAAACTGTTGAAAAGACAAGTAATAAGGTATTTTATGAGAGAGAAACGACATTTCATAACAAAGAATGAAATTGTGGTGTGGAAAGATATTGAAAGCGTCGAATAAAAATTGTTATCAATATCGATCAGTTTCATTCATTTTTCCTTCTTTCCGAAAAAAATCCTACTTGAATTTTTATACTATCGAGAGTCTCAGAAAAATATTTAGAATTATATGATGGGACACCTTGTGGTGTTTGTGACATCACTATGATGAACGTGGAGACGAAAACGACACTTTCTATACTCTAAGATACTAAGACAACGATGATATAGGAACTGACGACACATTAAACGATAGTGACGATGAATATAGTAAAGAGACGCTCAGAGTCAGTGATGATAAATAAACTGACGACACACTAAACGATACTGACGATGAATATTTCAAAATAATATCTGTACTTACAGTTCTGTCACATTCTCCGGCAGATCCGTCGGCACGTGGACTACACGTGCACCTTTACACTTGACTATAACGTCCTCAATTTCATATTCGCATTCACACAAATCTGTACAACTGTCAGCGAGAACCGTCTTAAACAGGAAAAAGAAAAGGAACACGCGAGCTGTATTCATCCTGTACATCTCTCTGTATAATTAGACTCTGATTGGAGTAGCAATTAGTTACGTCAAAACTTATTTGTCTCAGAGCTCTACGAAACAACCAAAATTCCGTTTGACCTTTCGTATGCGTCTTTGAACAATTGTGGGTGTTGATTATACGCTCTGCTCTCAGTCAAGTATTGAGAATCATTGAAAGCTATCGAACGGTATTACAGAACTTATCAGCTGTACTGTTTGGCCTCGTGATAGAGGAAATAATACGATCAAATGGTAAAGCGGGGCGTCAGGTCCATACTACAGCAACCTCAGCGACCAGAGGCGAGCTGACCAATAAACAAAGGCCATACTCTTTCACACAGACTATTGGTGATTTCGCTTCTGATGTTAACTGTTCATTGGAAACGAGAAGCATCACGTTGTTTCTCTTATTCACACTTATAAATAAATAGTATCCTGTATTTATGCCACACTCGATGTTTTATAAATTGTCGACGCCTGACATTTAATCGAATCGACTAGAAAATGACGCGGGCCTTTGCTGTATCGCTACTTCTTTTCTTTAAATAGAGAACTTACAGATACCGGATTAATGTTACTTTCATAACTTTTCGTTTGACAAGCAAATGCAAGTTTTAAGTATATCAGAATTTCCGCACATACTGTTACAATCCAATTAGCAAACAGCTAAAGTTGTTGGGGATACTACCAACAATGATTCAAAATGTGTTGTTTAAATATATTTATTTTCTTTAGTATAATGTGATTTTTAACAATATTGTACATAATATACCCACTGTTAGGATTAACAAAAATATCATCTTAAAAAGATTGTTTTTTTTTTCATTCTGGTGATATTCTTAGAATACAATCGATGGCGTTGGTGTGCGGTCGTGAGACGCAGTGCTAACGCACATGCCTTCAACTTAATGGACTGGGTTCGATTCCCGAATCGGACGCGACTAGGTATGTAGTTACTCGTTTTACCATTTAGGTTTTCCTCGGGTACTCTAGTTTCCTTCCTCGGTAAAAGGTCTCTCACGTGTTTCAGTCCAGGGAAAGTTCATATAATTCTTTTTTATATCTGTTACAAATTAAAGTTTAATTCTGTTTGTTCCTAGCTGTCGCTGCTGTTGTTGAGTTTTGTTTAGATACAATAACATCAATACGTAAGAAACAATGTCATTTGAATACAAAACAAAACGAATTATTTGGATTGTGTAGGTTTACATTGTCTCGTAAGTAAATATCACAATCTAATGACAGCTACAATTATGTTACTGTACCTATCTATCAAGATTTAAATTAAATAAACAAATTCAATCTCTATCTCACTGTTCTCTTTTAACAAACAATGAAGCCGGTATTTTTTCGTGTATTTGTTTTGTTTTCGAACCGTCTCACACTATTGATCAAGTGTCACTTCGAACAAAACAATGTAGTTTAATTGTAGAACACGGTGGCCTTTAATTTGTAGAAATGGATCTTCACGCAACACAATGGAGGTATTGGTAATGCTAAGAACTGTAACAAACGTCAATAAATGTCTTGTATATTACAGTTGAAAATTAATTCAGTCTATACCAAACATCATGTCGAGTGTTTTTTTTTCTCACTACTTGAAATTGTGACGAGGATAGCTGCTTCTTAGGTGCTTTCTGGTTTTGCATTTATATTCCTTATAAATGAAACAGCTTTGCCCGAAAACATCGTTTTTCAATATGAATAGATCAATAACATTTTTATTTTATTTTAAAACAATTGCGAAACAACTTATATAAATCACTCTTGTTGGCCCGAATGGAGACGCGCACGGCGTATTGTATTGCAAGTTGAAGTATGGTATGTGTGTTATGTCATATATAACAACTGTAAATGCCATGTCATGACAGGTCACTGATAAGGTTCACGTATTACTACCTACACTTTCTGATGTTCTATATAATACTACGTTATGTTATAAAAGAAGATGTTCGTTACTATCAGAGTAATCCAGTGAATGTACAGCAATAGAGACCAGAGACTAGTACACTAGTATAATGTATTGAATAACCATTATATATTTAACACTTTCGATCAAATCAAATTAAGTTTTGCAGAAGAATTCATCAGCTGTTTTATAACTTTAACTAAACTGGAAATACAGATAATGACAAGTTTGTCACGTCCTTCGCCAATGTAAACCCTATTGTTTCAGTAGTGATTGTAACTACGTAACTCTCTCTTGATCTGTGAATCTGAAGGGTTCTGCCTCTCTAGTCCCGATTTCAGTTTTTGTCTTGATCGCGGTCGAAAGTCAGAAAAACGCCCAAATCTGATGATCCTTATATGGGTAGGTATTCAGGTTTTATAAACAAAATTTACATTAGAGCTATAGAAATAAACCCATACATTGATAGAAAGATAAATAGTTTTCTACTTGTTAGTGTCAAAGAGGTTCAACCAAATATTTTCACTCATTTTTCCAACAACTTTACTTTCCATCACATTTACAATGGTCGCTTCTATGCGGAACCGGTAGATATCACAGGAACCGTTACGTTGTGACCATTCTGTATAGCTGATGATATTCGCGATGGATTCAGTTTCGCTATATTGGTCGTCAATAATGATAGCGCGAAACTAGATACTAGATTTAATTACCGTGAATAACCAAACCCGGACAGCTTGCGAAACTATAAACAGCTGTACAGTATGTAGTAATTGCGTAAATATATCCTGATACTGTAAAATTTGTTAGTTAGAAGGTTTTTTCGAGGACGGTATAAAACCGTGAAAAACAGATACCACGAGAAAGAATGCAACAGGAAAAAACAAAATCTGTTCAATGATTTCCGTGAAAATATTTTTTTTTAAACGTTTTGAAAAACCAGCAAATCATTGAACCATACGTACGTTTTGACAATGATTACTGCCTTGTATTCTCAGTATTTTTGGTTATTACATGAACTTAATTTCTACTTTGTGAATACTACTGCTACTGTATGTATTCATTTGTTAGCCCCGTGCTTTTGATCGGTCGTCCATGTTTCCGTATTTCGCCTCGCTTTCTATAATCTGTCTTGATCCTTTACATTTCCATAGTTCATGACTCTCCCTATCAATCTAGCTCTACGCTCCATATTTCTACATTCCGCCCCGCCTGCTATAGATCTGACTCGACCCTCCATATTTGCGCAATTCCCCTCGCCTCCTTGGACCCCTACGATAAATCTGACTCGACCCTCCATATTTCTACATTTCTCCCCGCCTGCTATAGATCTGACTCGACCCTCCATATTTGCGTATTTCGTCTTCCCTTCTTGGAGCCCCCTCTAAATCAGGATCGACTCGCATTCTATGAAAACTCGTCACTCTACATAAATTTGGCTCGACTCTCTATGGTATTCCTATAGCTGACATCATCCCATATAGATCTTACTCGACCTTCTATATTTACATATTTCTCCTACTCCCTATAAATTTGACTTTTATGTTTCTTTGTTTGCCAACATTAACTTCTTTGCTTCATAGAGGAATTTTCCAATTTTTATGCATTCTATATGTATATTATGCAAAACACAAAGTTAAACTTAACGACCCAATTAATTTCATTTCATCACTGGAAAACTGTCCCCTCATTTGCATATAAAACTTACAGAACCATACCAATGAATGTGCAACAAACACTATTTTCCATAGCCGTTAACAATCCCTAAGCAAAGTCCTCCATCAGAATTTCGACGGCTGTGTTGCTCACATCCATGTGTGCTTGACTGTAGACGGTCCCTTTCTGACGTCAACCCAGAGACAGGTCGCATAGATTTCATTTAAAGTAAAAATGAATGCTATTTTTAAGCCTGTTTATTTTCAAATTTTGAGCCGGTGACATAAGTTGGGTTTAATTACCAAGATTTGTATGACGAGTTCCAATTTGATCACATAGAAATATTATATTATCTGTGATTTTTTTTCAATGATGGATAAAGAATGTTCTCCAAAATGTCACACGACAATGAAGAGTTGTTTTTTTTCTTATTATACGAAGATAGTTTAAAGAAATAAACGATATCACGGGTTTCCCAATTAAACTTTTGTGAAAACAGTTTTTTCTTTTTCTATTCTATCTTTAAACAATGCGAATATTTTCGCGTGACATCAGAGAACTAAGGGTATATCTGGTTTTATTTCATTCATTAATTAATCTGTTTTATTGCCTTTTTTACTCAATTTTCATTCATTAATGTAATTGGAATATGAAACGGGGAAACATCTCATCATGGTCGAGTTCCTATACATCAAAACTATGATACTGAAAATTGATTTTTTTATCAAGGGAATTCATGGCTTAGTGGTATGGCAGTGTTTACGTTCTAAAGATATATTGTTAAAATATTTATTCACTTGATAAGCTGACACAAACAAATGTATGTTTGTTTTCAGGAATATGTTATTTTACAATTAATCAATCTAAGGAAATAATGGCTGTTTTGAAATTAATTTTCAGTAAATTTGAAAATGATAGAATGCGCTGTATATTTTTTATTTTAAAAATTTCAAAAATGAATAAAAAATAAAAATAATTAAATTAAATTTGATTGAGAGAAATGATAAACTGCTAAAAAAATAATTGATATCTTCACAGGTTCTATATTTCTAGAAATTTCTAGAAAATAAGAAATTACCTGCAGAGAGAAATATTTCCATAAGATTGCTTTTACTAGTCTGCTGTACAGAATCGACACTTCAATAGGGAGTTATATGTACGATGGTTTTTTTTTTGCTGTTACATGACGTGTTAAATGTGATATGAACCCACTTCGGTATAGATAACGCATATTACAAAGCATCACGTAACATTTCCTGTTTAATGGTGAGTAATCAATTATATTAACAAATAAAATAGAAATTATTCAACACGAGAACAGAAAAGTGTGTTCGAGGAGTAGTATAGAGAATATATGGTCAGTGTCTTAAGATATAAGTTGTAATTTGGCGGGTGAGAAGAAAGACAAAACTGGCGAGCTTCTGGCCAA